ACGTACGAAACGTTAGACAAATGTTACACATGCAGCTGTCCGCACACAGAGAAAAAGATTTCTTTAGATTTAGTATTTCGATTTATTTGACCGAAATCTGTTTCATAAAAGCAACATATACGAAATATTATTTGTTGGAGAACAAATTTTATTCTCATTCAAGAACTTTCTATTATTCAACAGGAAGTACGTTATTATTTGAAATAATATCTTTCAATCAAATAAAATATTATTTGTTTACAATAAATATGTAAAGTAAAAGAAATAATTTCTTTGTGAGAAAATTATCTTTCGTTTCACGTAAATAAATTTTTTATTTAAAATAAAGTTTTTATTTAAAAAAGTTTTTATTTGTAAAAATTTTTTATTTAAAATAAATATTTAAAATACATGTTCGTTGAAAAGTCTGACAATCGTGCTTATTAATTGAAACATTAGTTTCTTTGGAGCATGCCAATGGTGAAATTTGTTTGGATGCAATAAAATTTATTATCATTTGAAGAAATCTTTTTCTCAGTGCACACACACACACACACACACATATATATATATTTTTTTTACATAATATTGCTGTTGTGTGGAAACTGTTATTATCGAGAAATATTTCTTTGTAAGATACGCTTTTATAACATCTTCGCTTTTATAAGGTCATAGCCACCGGTAGAATGAAGTCACGTGTACATGACAACGTGTTAACATTCATATCCCCTTCGGGCCATAGTAAACGCGCATCGCCAACGCGAAAAAAATTCGTATCCGCGCGGAAGTGTTTTATGCTATTTCGATAGCGGGTTTGGGGACGACAATGGCGATATTTCCGGCCAGTTTATAAAGTTTCGAGGTCAAGATTCGTTTATCTAACCATTACCTGTTGCAGGAGGAGTCGTTACTTTTTTACTACCCAGCAGTTTTCGAAATTAAGGATCGATTTGTGACACACTTTCATTCAACACTGTTCTAATCTTAGATTTTCACATAAGTCGACAACTTTTTACTTATGCGACTGCGGCGGCAGTCCGTGCAAAAGAGCGTATCACGCTTTTGATCTTTTACTTTTACTTTTACTTTCGTACACGAGTATGCCCGTAATGCTCGTTTACGTGTTCCTTTATTTCAACTGGTTTTCTTTTCACAGATGCACGCGTATGCCGTGCGCGAGGTATATCTCGAAATAAACCGAACATGATTAATTGGCCAAGTTTTTTATCTTTATGACTGATTCGTTTATCTGCTGTTTAATATACCCATGGTACTATAATTATAATGTTTGTTATAATAGCCGTTTCTACCAATAATAAATCGATTGATCTTTACTTGACATGGCGTTGCAAGGTCTATGTGAGTCTTTATTCAGTGCAAAAATAAGATATCGATAAAATATCTTATACTAAGATAATAAGATAAGATTTCGTGAAGTTCGTTAATTGCTTTTTTTGTAACTTTATAGCTACGTTGAAAGTTTAATACATTAATATTCATGTATAGATCGTAGTACAGATAATTAAATATTAATTTATATACTTGAAAAAAAGAAAAAAAAAATATATATAGATATATATAAATTATCTTGAGTTCTATTATGAATGAATATATATGATTCTCTCCATTTTTAGCTAAGTCATTAATATTTTAATATATACAGAATGATTATTTTAGGATTGAAAATCGGAGAATTTTTATCCACGACGAGACTTTATAAATTTATTGATAAGAGACATTAGTTAACCATATATTTTATCGGGACGACTTATTCAATAGAAAATAGAATTCGATAGAAGAAAAAGCAGTCATAATCAAAGTAACGAATAAGGAATACATTGTGACATGATGTGCGTGAATAATTTTTATACTAATATTTTTTACACTCGTCAAATATTCTGAAACAAGATGCTAGCTTTCTAAAATGAAAGAACCGCATGATAATATACGTGGAATTAAATTTGCTAATGAAATGATAGCCCTTATAAATATGCGGATATAACCAGTCGACGTTTTAATGTGTTGAATATGATTCAGCGAAAGCGGAAGCAATATGCGTAATTTATTATCCATTTTGAATTAATTCACTATCTATTGCCTATTATGAATTATAAAAATTGTAAAACAAAAAGGAGCAATATTGAAATTATCGGTTTCCGTGACAATTATTAAACAACAAAATAACGTTATCGCGTCAATATTGGCAAAATGAGACAAAATAAGTCCGCACGAGAATCCTATTCATTTTCGAATAAAAATAAACACACAACAGATCTCTTGCTAATTTACGCACTGTGCTAAAAAATTTTGCTAGCTACAAATGTCGTCTTTTATTCTTGAGTAAACAAAATTTCTATATCTGGACGAAATCTATATAGTTCTTAAAGTCGATATAATAGTATCGGTTACATTATAAAACTCAAGTGGATATCAAGAATGGATATCAAGAATCACACGTTTGTTATAAACAAGTTTTAAATAGTCGAAGGCAAAGTATCTCCGTTGCAATAATCATCTATCTAAGGAACGTATATTCGACGATGTCACGACGTATTATTGATTAAAAATATAATTTTAGATTCACATTCTTTCGTTTTATCTTAAGCATAGAGTTGTTTATAAGACTTGCTCTTGAGAGCCGACGACGCGTGTGTTCCGAACTAGGAACCGAGTGTGAGACGTGACTAGTTTATTGAATGGTTCATTAACTTGAGATTTATAAACGATCGGCCGTCCACTTCCCCCTTTGTTTTGTTCGACAATTAAAATACACTTGTTAATGATAAAACTATATACTGTTAATTATGAAAGAATGCATGGTTTTATGACGGAAAAGGACAGCAAAGTTGTATAAATTATCCAAAATATGCCGAAAATCACACGACAGTATCGCGAAATTAGTATCTGGCGAGTCGTTTAGTTGCTTATCGAAAATCTTCTTCGTACAAACGATGGATGGACACGTATTGCTACTGCGGCACTCATATGCTCGAGGTTATCAGTCCTCAGTACTAAAATATAGAATGAAGTAAAGGCGATTCGTTGCGAAAAATAAACACTATTTATTCTTATCGCGGCCTTGTCTCGTTTCTTCGCACCGAATTCACATTCGGAATAGTCGTAGAAAAATAATCCAAGCCGTGAAGGAACAAGCAATTTCCTCACTCCCCGTGATACGGGGTTATTATGTCCACACGGCTAAATTACAGACTGCACACTTGCCGATGGTACGGGCATACGCTTATGATTCAGCGGATTACACGGCCGTGTATATATTCGTGCGAAGATTCTTGCGAAAATTCGTGCGAAAATTCCGTGAGATTTCAATGGTGCAATCCAGCGAAAGTCAATATCTCGCGTTCGGTTAAGCGGAGCAACTTAATTGAACCGCGATTGCTATCGGTTCACTAGGTTTTCCTTTTCGTTCGTTTTTGTCAAACAAGACCGATTAGCGCCGGTCGGTTGCCATAATTACGCACATCTCGGAACTGGAGCCGACCCGATCCTTTTGGCTTCGACCACCATTTATGTTCCCGTTCCTACGCGCTCTTTCTATCGCGGTAGCAACCATTGATTTCCGCATGATACATTCAGATGAAAATCTACGCCTAATTATATGCACGTATTTTTGTTATTGCCTTCCGTAATGTCAGGAAAGTAACGGATGCATTACGCGAATGTATAACATTTTTGCAATTTTCTAATTATGCATTAGATTTAGATAGGTCTCTCGATAAATTTTCCGGAATCTTGCCCAAAAAGAAGGAAAGGTGGTAGTATTTTCACTCGAGATGAAAATGAAAATACTACCACTCTCAGGGCAAATTTCAAACCTCCGATTAACTTAATCGGCTAATTATTTGATTGGAATTGACTAATCACATTTGTCGTTAAGCAAAATTGACAAGAAATAACTAATTACGGTTGACATTTAACCGTTCGGTTAACGTTTAATCGGAAGTTGCGAAACTGGAAGTAAGATGACAAGTTTCGCTCATTTTTTAAGTGGACCTTGACTTCGTATTAACGAATGTTGTTAATCAATTAGAGTGAATCCTTTGTTCCTGTGACTATGAAATATATTGAATTCGCTCTTTAATTTCGAGTGAAATTATTCACTTGACGATTCAAAGTGGAGAAATTCATTTTGTACGAGTAAAAAGCGTACGAGAGTTCGAGGGAATCGGCGGTCTTTTTATCAGAATAAAATTTCACTCGAAGAAATTTAAAGAATAATACAAATAATAAAGTTTAAACTGGACTGAAAACAATTTAAGTAACTTTTGCTTAAGTGTGAATGTTGCCTCTTTTCCGCCGAATTGCTCGCCATGTATTCCACAGCACACGCTTAATACGAGATCGAATTGTCCTCGAACACACGATCTTCATCTTCGATAAATCAAAATTAGGACAATGACCAATCAAGGCCGCGACGGGGTTCAATGTAAACAAGAATATAGTTCTTCATGAATAATAAAGAAGTATTAACAAAAATATGAGATCGAATTAATGCAAACGATATGTGTCGGAAATGTTACGGAACCCAGATCAATTTTAATCGGCAATGATATCACTTTTTAAGATCAAGGTACTTCATCAAACTTCAATCTTAATTGATTTCTGGAACTGGACCTTGAATTTGTGAATATCGCGTCGATTCGTATTCGGCAGAAAACTCCGGCACAGATTGCGTCTTTGTAAAATCGAAAGGATCATATCTGTAATTTTTATCTACGAACACGAATTTAATTGCTCTTGCGAATATTTTATCATTAGTGATGAGCAAATGTTTTTTTTTTTTCTAATAGAATTAATCGTAATTAATATAATTATCCGTTGTTCGCAGATATATATATATATATATTTGTAGATTCATATTCGAAATCAACGGTTCGTTAACTAGGAATATATCTCGCCTCTGTATATGTGTATGCATGTGCGTATGATATACTAGCACACCTCTGTTCTTTCCGAATCCGAACGTTCGTCTCGCGAGTCCGATTTCGAATTTCGTTACTTACTTCTCGGCCACTTTCGACTGCCGTCGGCGTTCACCGGTACCGCGATGTTGAAGAATCTGTTCACCATTACCGAGGACTTTCTTTGGAAGCTCGAGCGTCGGGGAAGCGTCCTCGGCTCATCCTGGTCGACCGAGCCGTTATCGGGGCCGTCGTGATTGGTGTTGTTAACCGAGCGTGAATAATTGCGGCCCGCTAGAGAGTGCCAGAGTATCATGAGGTCCTTCATATTGGCGTGGCTTATCTCTTTCTTCCTTTCTTTCTTGGCGATAGCGAGCTGACGAAAGGTTGCGGTGTGTGCAACGCCGGGATCGAAATCGACCGACGTTTTCCGGCTCGTTGCTTACAATCCGACGCGACAGACGCGACGAAGACGCACGTTACTGCCGCAGAAGATGAGAAAGATGGCTCCTCACAATTGGCTGCGCAGCTCGCGATGTCAGCCGGCTGCAGCAGTTAGGAATCGGCCGGCGTTGATACTGTTAATGCTATGTAATTTTCGGCCGCAAGGCTGCCGCTTGCGACACGCAATTTCTTCGGTCCTCTCGTACTTCCGACCGTCGAAACTTCTTCGGCACGAGCCTTGCTTTCTCCCGACGAACGAACGGAACGATCGACCGGAGCAACCGATCTTTAGCTTGCGATACCTCTACGATGACTCTTCGTGGCCACGACACACATCGATCGGATTTCCCGGTATCGGTGACGTATCTCGTCGTCGAATTCTTGAAGCTTCGATGTAGCGACGGGGACTCTCTCCGGCTCGGAAGTCCCGGCGAAGAAGAAGCGCCACGGCGTTTCCGGGCGCGCAGCGATCTCGTTTTCTTCGCGCAGATATCCTCCGCTAGACTTGAGCACCCGTTTGGCAAGTTTGCGCTCACACTCTTCGCCGAAATTCCGGCTAATCGTCCAAGTTTTATCCTCCTGCACCTGTCACGTATGTCGCCTGGCTCGCCGTGCGTACAGCATGCGCATCGGTGCAAGAATGACGGAAACTCGGATCGGCGGGATTTGAAAAATACTGCACTCCCACCATGGTGGTCGGCTCGCCGGTCGTCCGATGGCCGAGGTGGTGGCGATCGGCGAGCACGTGGAGCGCCGGCCAATCGGGTCACGAGATTGCCGTCCCTCTCTGGCAGGACATCGCTACCTGTCCGGCGTAATCCACTCGATCGAGATCATCCGGTCAGAGGCGATTCGAAGGTCGATCGACAGCGTTCGTTGACAAACAACGGCCGTGTTTCCCAGGGCGGACCCGTAATTAACTCTTCGCAATTTTGCGCGTGATCATTTCTCGCGACAGGCCAGGTCGAGATGAACGACCTTACTTTGATCGCCGACAGGGTCGCGTTTATGGACGTTTACTTTCAGCTAGCCTACTGACCGCACATGCAGACGCATTGCAGAGGAATGCAACCTTGAGGGAGAGGGCATTTTACTTTTAAAATCGCGAAAGTCACGCGGGAATCGAATCGAAGAGACTTTTATTTCATTACTGTTGCCTCATCGTAAATAAGGAAGGTAATGAAGTCCAAAAAATTCCTCTTCCATTCCTTGTTGCATTTTAATCGGCAAAATTCGGATTTTTTACCTGATTTGTAATTTAAAACCAGCGATTGGTTTATTGTTACTTTCGCAATCTGTGTTTTTTTTTTTTTTTATAAAGACAAGGAGCAAAATTATAACGACATTCTTCGACGACGCAATTACGGTTCGATATATTAACCATAATTTAGTTGAAGTTAAAATAGCAGTTGCTTTATCACACTGAGGAAGAATATAGTTGTTTTCGGGGACGAAAACATCCTTTTTTCATCTTAACCACAAAAATGGTCGAGAAAACAGTTTTTCTAGTAAACGTTACTATAGCGACAGTAACAATAACCTTACGCATAATATGTTGCTGCTATTATTTTTAAATTGGTTAAAATTTAAATTTAAATAAAGTTAAATTTGGTTATTTTTATATTGGTTAAAATAAAAAAAAAAGGGATATTGTTGTGTCTCCGAAAATAACTATATTTTTCTCTCGGTATATATTTTAACAAAGCTACGTTCAAATTTTGTTTATGACGCTCGCGCGACAGAATTAACGAGAATCAAACCAAATCCGTAATAATCAACTTGATATCGTGATATTTATCACGACAGAGATGTTTATTAGCTAGTACGCATAACAGGAAGTGCGTCACTATTCGGTTAGTATCTGTCAGCGTAGTTTATGCTCCAAATCGTCTAATAGTCTGCAACGACCATATTGCATATTACACGCGATATGTTTGCGGCTACCACCACCACCGCCGCCGTCACCGCGGCAAGAAAATTCCACCTGTTTGCGCCGCAAACTCGTGTCCGCAGCGTAACTTTCCGATAACTCCCATTAAGTAATTTAGATCGATCATTCGCAGCGAGCGAGCATCGGATGCGTATTAAAAACAACGTTTCCGCATATAAGCGCATTTTCTGTTCAGGAAAAACAGTTCCTACGTAGGCGCTCATTGTGGAAGGAGAAAAAACAGCAATAATTGGTGAGACAGGACCGATTAGATTGATTGCGCTTGAATTGGCGGCAAAAACGTGCGACATGGGCATGTTCCGTTGCGCCAGTGTTAGGTGTGATTTAATCGTGAAGTAAAGCAAAAAATAGAATCGGTCACGTGTCCTTGACGCGATCTTGCAAATTCGTGCAATTCTGCCATATCGCTGAAATACATACTGTGTTTCGCAATTTATTCTTCTACGCAGTCCGATATCAATCATCGGTATCGATCATCGCAAATAGCCGTGCATTAGGATTCATCGACGTCTTGACGTTCCACGAGAGTCCCGGCAGAAGCCGGTAGTGGGTAAACACTTTAATTCGCGTTTTATTTAATCTTTGATCAGTTTATAACTTGTTGCTCGTCTCGCACTATTATCTGTATTATTTTGCTAAAATTTTTTTACTAAAATTTTGCGGATATTTTTCTGTTAATTGGTGTCCCAATTAGTCGTGACTTCTCGAAAACAAATTTTTAGTTCAATGACATGGCGACGTGGCATTTGTTCGCATGACATCTTGTTAATGTCGATATATTTCTAATTACATTACCGGTCATTAGTTTAAATAAATGACTAAATGTCTCATTAGTGTTATAAAAAAAAATGGCGAGTGTATACTTTTTTTTATCAGAAACGAGTGCATAGTGTTTCTTACTAATTGTTGAAATGTCTTTTTCATTTAAATTGAACGCTGACTATCGAATTCCTAATGGCTTTAAAGTCTATCTACTTTAAAATACAAATACAAATCATTTTTGGGAGGTTTTACAAGAAAAATGAAAGCAAATTGGACCAGAAATTTTGGATGAATTGACTGCCAGAATATGTCTGGAGTATGCGAGTTTAAAACTGTGATTAAAACTAAAGATGGATACGTAGACGAAAGCAAAATCTGAATGAAAGTATCGCCTTAATTTCAACATAATATGTGAAATTTAATTGTTATTGTATAAAGTTGTTGCAGTAAATCAGTAATTATAGTTATGTGCATTTATATTGAGTTTCCCTTTTACTTTTAAACTATCAAAACCTAAATAATTTTAGCATTTATTTAAAATAATAACCGGTAATTTTATTAATTTATGTGACATGTAGAAGATATATAAATGTCAATTAATTATTGATGATCTAATTGATACCTATCGGTATCACAGTAACGCCTCTAATATCAATAAACGTCATTAAAACGTCAATTGATGTCACTTTGTTCTTTAAGCACTTAATGAGCGAATCTCTTTAAACTTTGATTTTACAAGAGCAAAATTATGAGACCGTTGTTATGTAACTTTTCTCTCTCTTATCTCATTTTTTTATAATTTTATTATAAGAATTATAAAGGATGAGATAAGATTTTATTTTATGATATTATTTATTATAATATTATAATAAATATATAGACAAAATTTAGTTGTACTAAATATTCTTCAGACGCGCATAAAGCCTCGATGAACTTATTGCGAAAAGATTTGATTTGTAAATAAATCGAAACGGACCTTTGTGTGAAATTAAATTTGATAACTGTAAACTTTAACACAGTTACCACAGCGCATCGAGAAAGATTTGAGAACCAATATAAGTCAGGGTTGTATTATTATATTTGTTGATTTCGACCAGCCATATCCTATTCTTGACAAATTGCATTGTTTACGAACATCTATCTTCAACAGAATTCATTATCTTGTCATCATTTCGCCGATCAAACCGAACGGTTCCCATCGGTTTATTGTATCGGTTAATATGTATTGAATTCTGACACCTCAGATATTGTTCGGTATCTAGGAGTGTACAGGAACAAAATATAAGTCTATAATTTATGATACATCATAAATATGTTCCTCTTCCTTTACGTATCGCATATGCATTAGCATTGTGATTTCATTAGATAAGTTGTACGCGTCACGCAATACATGTTCCGTAGAAGTTGTTGCGCTTGATATTCCCACATGGCTATCGATGCGCGTTTCAAAATCGTGTCGAATTTACGAATATACGAATCGCGTATCCCACTGGTTTCCGATGCTACACGCTTTGGGCACCATGCTCGCAAGTTTGTGGAATTCGAATAAATTAACAGGCGAAATGGTCCCGGCTCTTAGCCGCCAGTTTCCCGGCTCCTTGAACAGTCACGTTTATTATTAATGTATGTAAACCACCACCTACGTAATTTAACGTTAAGTTCCTCGATAAGAAATATAATCTTCCGCTATAAATAAATCTCTCCGCTACAGACAAATCTCTTTTACGAGAGAGAGAGAGAGAGAGAGAGTCGACGAGAAAGTCAATGTATTCTTAAAGTTGACGGTAGTGGAGGTAGTGAAGGTAATAAACCTGTCAGTTTAATTGATGCGTACAAGCCGTATATTTGTAGCCGGTGCACAATTCAAGGTCACTACCATCGGACAAGCTAGTGTATCGGAGGTCAAACTGAATCCCTTTGAATCAATCACGCGCGATTAAGAATTGGAGGATTCAATGCGAATCGAAAAATTCGGGAGTCCAAAACGAATAGGATTCATTTGCACCTGTCATCGGTCGATATCTTTCTTCTCCGGCGGATAATGGTCTAACGTGTCGTCGTGGGCCATGGAACACCGTCAATTGCGAGTGCTTGTAACTTTGATTTTCGACATCCCGTTAACTCCGTACCGAAACATTCGTAGTCAACGATGTTTGAACGTGGCCATCGCGTAGACCCGGCATTACCGTGATAACAGGTTTACCAATTTATTCACTCGTTGATTTTCCATGCATCAGCGATACCAATTAGCATCCGTAATTCGTGTCACTAATCCGATTCGAAGGTTCTACATTTTAATCATTTTTCTCGTAATATCCTAGTTGTGCAGCGCAGAAGTGGATAAATAAATAAAGTATACCTATGAAAGAAGCAGCATTTTAACGCTCGAGATAATACGGTGGTCGATCTAAGAGTCTTAAGTAATTATATCAGGAAAGTCGAAAGTTGAAATTGCATGCACCAGACGTACACAATCGACAGGTGATCGAGTCGCATGACAACGCATTAAATTATTACCTGCCTGGAAAAAATATCGTTCGGACGTTATACGACTAGTTTTTAAACGTTCTCATATTATTT